CCTTACTCATGCAGACATTTATATTAGCAAGTTTTCAGCAAACCAGCAGCATATTTGCCAACTTGAGTTTGAGTCAGTGTGGTTTTGTAACTGTTTGTTTTACACTTTGCTCTTCTTTTTGTTTTTTTTCTTTAGGGCGATGTCATTAAAACGAGAGGAGGGGGACAAGCTGTCCAGTTCACTGATATTGAGACACTGAAACAGGAGCTCACTACAGTCCCAAGGTAATAATAATTTATAACCTTAACCCAAAAAATATATATATATTGAAATGTTTAATACAGGGCTTATACAGGTGCTTGAAATCCTGGAATACACTTGAATTTTAATATTGTCATGGTTTTTTTTTTTTTTTTTTTTTTTTTTTTTTTTTTTTTTTTGTGGCATATAGGAAATAAACATCAGTATCTGATGAGACGACTTATTCTTATTTTTTGTGTGTTTGGTGCAGTTTTCTTGTTTTGTTTTGGGTTTTTTGTTTGTTTTGTTGTTTCTCAGCAGGAGATGAATATCTCGAACAAGTTGATTTATTCACATTTGCACATCTTAATTTTTAAGTGAAATGTGCATTTTGAGTTTATACACTTATAAGGCAACCTTTTCCTTTTGCAGTATTTTTGTGTAGTGTTTTTCTATGTTTTAACAAAAGGGGAACAAAGGCATTTAATAACAGGATAACAAAAAAACTGGATTTGCCTTCTGTGCTGGCCTTGTTCTGTCTGGTATCCAGACAGATACCAGACAGGAACCGGTATCCAGTTTCTGTCTGTCTTTGACTGAGATCAACTTGACAGCTCAGTTGAGCAAAGACACATCCCTTATTCTATGACAGCAGGACACAGCATCGGACATTTTGATTAGCTTATTTCACTACTGTTGTCAGTTTGGTATCCAGTTTAAAAAACAAACAAACATATTAATATTGTTAATAATTGTACATGCATTACCTAACGTGCCTCCTGAGTCTTACATTTTTTAAGTTGTTAAATATGATTCCAAACTGCTGAAGGTGTGCTAATGTTTTTACGTATCAATCTCTGAAGGAGGAAGAGGAAATCTTCAGAAGGCGTGTCAGCCAGTGGAGATGGAGCTTTGACTGATGTGGAGACGAGGGTAAGCTGATTTAAAAAATTCTCCTCAGATTCGAAGCTGAGCTATTCAGAACACTTGCAAATAGATTTAGGTCCTAATCTTTTCCCTCTTCGCAGTGCTCTGTGGCTGTGGCGATGAGGGCTGGATCAAACTTGGGACCTGGGTTGGAGCATCATGCAGTCATCAAGTAAGCTGTCAACTTTCTGCATTGCCTCTGAGTAAAGTGTAGTTTTCACTCAGAATACATAACTACAGATTGTGATTCACTCGGTTTTCTGTTACAGGCGCAGAAAACCCTAAAAGCTGCTAACAGATCAACAGTAACCACTCCCCTTTATCCTCACCTGGCTGTTGTGCAATAGTCTGACCTCTGTTTTTATATTTAGTTCTAGTGATGATATTTAAATGCTTTCCATGTTTTTATATAAATATGCAGAAGAGTATATACATAGGTCACCAAAGCATTGTTGTGTAAAATAACTATCTATTTACTCAGATATATGCATCTTTAGTTACTGTGGCTCTACAGCTAAACAAAATTGTTTTTGCACACATTTTACTCTGCTCACGAGTTATTGTAAAACCTCCACAGTAATGATTTTTGTCTCATGTATACAATTTGTCTGATTTTGGTGAATTAAACTGAGCTTCAAGTTTGGAAAAAGTTTTTTTGTTTTCATTTTATAATTTTCTCACTTTTCTTCACTACACTGAAAAAAAATGCAATAGAGTGGTTCCTGAATTTGCATATAAGGATTTTGTGTATCCAGGTTGACTAATTTGAAGTTCCCATCTAAACGTAATTTAGTCTTTTAATGCTAACATATTCTGTAAGGATGTTCAGTCTATTAGATTAGAGCATATGTTCCGCTGCCCCTCAAGTGCTATAAATGGCAAAGATATGGGCACATCACTACAGTTTGCAAATGGGAAATGGGTAGTGTGTGTGGAGGTGAACACAGATATGAGGAATGTGGGGATAGTGTAGGATAAATGCAGTAACTGTGGGGGGCAGCAAGGGGTAAGTTATGGGGTTGTTAAGTCAGAAAGAAGGCCATGGAGGTCAAACAAGTTAAAGTAGTTCACATCGTAAGTTACACCGAGGCTGTCAAGAGGGAACAGAAGGCACAGGAAGAAACAGGAAAGGCTCAACCGATGTCAACATCAGATTTCGTACAGACACATGGAACTCATACAGGACTGACAGTGGAGAAGATGATTTTGTTTATTGCCTATGTTATAAATTGCACAGATCAAGAAACACAAAACAGAAACTTATAATAATTGTGAAAGGAGCAGAGAGGTCTTTTGGCATTAAAGATATATCTCGGGAACATATCAATATAAGACTTGGAGGAGAGGGAGATGAGAGGACAGTATGATCACTGTGGAACGCCACAAGTTTGATTGCAAATGGACAAGGGCTCAAAGGATTCATCAAAAAATGCGAAAATAAATCATCTGTATTCAGAAGACCTGGCTTAAACCTACTCTGGATTTTGTTATTAAAGGTTATGATGATGTCCGGAGAGATAGAAATGAGGGTAATGGAAGAGGGTTTGTAAAATTTGTAAAGCAAGGAACCCAATATAGAGTCCTAGCTATAGGAACACAGAATACTTTGTAATGAAAATCTGGTCAAGATATAGTAGCATCAGAGTAGTGGGGACTTTAATGCACACAGCACATTATGGGGTAACTGTAAGGATCAGAATGGAGCAGTGATTGATAGAGATTAAAAAAAGAAAAATGTGTGTCTGAATGATGGAAGTGGTACAAGAGTGAAAGTTGGAACAGGTGCAGAATCAGCAAGTGACATTACATTAGTGTCACACTCATTGGCAGGTATTTATTCATGGCAGGTAATAAAAAAAAAAAAAGACAACTGTAGGCAGTGACCATTATCCTATAATGACTGAGATAGAGCTGAGTGTAGAGAAACATGACATAGGAGTGTGCAGAAGTGGTGTTTCAGTAATGCAGATTGGGATACATTTTGATTAGTTAGTGAAATGCAAAAGATTGATATGAATGTTGGGGTTGATGATTTAAATTATTCTATTTGTAAGGCAGTTTTAGAGGCAGCAAACTGGGCGATAAAGAGGAAAGAAGGGAAAAGAAGATTGTATCTTGTTGGACAAAGGATTGTGATAAAGTGATAAAATAAAGCTTTTAACATATTAAAGAGGAATCGCAGTTTTCAGAATTTCATTGAATATAAAAAATAGTAAGAAGAACAATTAAAAATGCAAAGAGGGACTTCTGGAGGGGTTTTTGTAATCCAGTAGGGAGGGAGAATAAAATACACAATGTTTGGTCAATGATTAGAAGGATGAATGGTATAAAAAGGGAGTATGGATATCCAATCTTGAGAGATGGAAAGGCAACAGCATTAAAAGATGAGGAAAAAGCAAAACCTTTGTTAAAATCCATAGTTCAGGCAATGCTAGTGGAGAAGGGCGAAGTGGAAGAGAAATGACAACCATAGAGAATAAGGATTTACTGAAACAAGTAGAAGATACAGATGGTTTATTAAATATTACTTTTACAAAGTCAGAATTGAATCGAGTTCTTCGGAAATCCAAATTATAAGCACCGAAAAAAGATCAGGTTTGCTATATCATGATAAACCATCTTAGTGAGTCAGCTAAAGATCTTTTGTTAGAGTTCTATAACAGAGTTTGGGAGGGTGGAAAACTGCCGCAAAGCCGGAAGGAGGCAGTGGTTGTGCCCATAGGTAAACCAACAAACGATGGTAAAAATCCAGGAAATTGCAGACCTATAGCTTTAATATTTAACGCCTGTAAAATAAATGTGCAGTTAATAAGACAAAGACAATATTTATTTCTACAAGGAAAAGAGTTGGTGAGGAAGCCAAGCTAAAGTAATATGGTGAAGAGTTAGAAAGAACAAGTAAATTTAAGTTTCTGGGATTGTGGCTGGATATAACATGGGCTGTACACATTCAGAAAATAGTGGATAAATGCAAAAAGGTATTAAATATAATGAGATGTTTAGTTGGGGTGGACTGGGGAGCGGATTGGAAGTCTTTGAGGGCCATACACACTGGGTTGATTAGATCAGTGTTAGATTATGGATGTGTAGCATATAATTTTGTGGCTGACACAAGTCTTTTAAAGTTAGACTTCAGTCAGTATCAGGCACTAAGACTCTGCACAGGTGCATTTAAAACAACCTCAACAGCAGCTTTACAGGTAGAGATGGGTGAGATGCCACTAGGAATCAGAAGAAAACAGCTAACCCTCAATTACTGGGCAAATCTACAGGGACATGGACAGGATCACCCAACACAAGAGGTACTGAAACCTTGCTGGGAGGAAGGGCATTTAGTTTAAACTCACATACAGGTTTACATTGACCAGTATTATAATTATGTACAAATATATACAGATGCATCAAAGAATACAGCCAGTCAAACCAGTGTTGTTCTGGAGTTTAAAGTCAAAATAGGGAAAAGGATCAATGATGAACTGTCGGAGAAGGAGACTGGAGAAATGCTCACAATTCTGTTAGCTGTTCAGTGGATAGAAGACATGAGGCTGTTACAATCAGTCATTTGTTCAGACTCAAGCTCGTCATTGGCCAGTTTACAGTGTAGCCACTCGGAAAGTAGAGCAGATGTTCTAACAGGAATTCAGGAAACACTTTACATAATACAAATGATGGGACTTACAGCTGTCTTTTTATGGATTACGGCTCACTGTGGAGTAAAAGCAAATGAAATGGCAAATAGAGCTGCGAAGGAAGCCACAAAACATGGGGTAGTTGACCTGGTTATTAACTTCTGTAGGACAGAGATAAAGAGTATTGTAAGGCAAGAAATGAAGAAAAGACGGGAAAACAGTGGGAGGGGGAAAGGAGGGGACTCTCCTATAAAATTTAGCGGAGAGTAGGAGAAATGAGAACCACAGGAAGGAGTAGGAGAAAGGAGGTGGTACATATCGTGGTCATATCGAGAATAAGACATACTGGTTTGAAAACTACACTGTTCATGATAGGGAAACATAATACAGGGAAATGTGACTACTGTGGAGAAGAGGAAACTAGAGAACATGTTATATTGTCAGAAGTATCAGGTGGAGAAAAGACAACTGACCCGAAACCTCAGAAACATAAAAATGAAGCTAGATCTTATTGATTTACTGCAAATGGTCTCAAGAAGTGAAAGTTATCAGGCCTTAATTCAGTTTTTAAAAGAAAGTAAATTGTTTGGGAGGATTTGGGGTTTTTTTTTTGGTGGCGGTAATGCATCCTTCAGTTGTTTGCCAACCGCCAATCAAATTTAAAAGAAGAAGAAGAGGCGTCGAGGTGGAGGGACGATTTAAAACTAGACAAATAGAAACGGTGAATTCAGCATAAGTACCACGTTACAATGACGAGAGAAGTGTAAGTATAGGTTTATATTATATATGTTGCAGGCAGGCTATATTGTTTGTGTGTATTACCCTGTCACTAAATGGTGAATTTAAGTTTAAGGAGTTAACAACGGACGCTGACGCTCTGCTTTACTGTTAGCAGGGGGCTAATTAGCCATCTAGCAAGTGGCTTTGTTAGCCATTATAAAGTAATTAATTGTTAACGCTTACGCTTCTGTTTGAATTGTGAATGACTTTGTATTTATTTACTTTTACAGGAAGGTTAAAACCCCCAGCAGGCCTCCTCCAAAAAAACCCTCCAGCAACCAGACGGACCCAGTTGGGGTGAGTGTCCCTGAATTCTTAAAGGTCAACTTGGCAGACAGCACAGATGTGAATCTCATACATTCCACTGGGTGGGAAAAAAATTCCAGTAAGGGAATGTTTAAACCTAGAGTGGAGTCATTTACTGACAGAGTGAAAATTCTTTTGGACAGTTTCTCTTCAACCTGAATGTGAGCCCACAGTTTCGTTCTGCAGCCATCAGTTTTCTTCCTCAAAGGCAACAGATTTAGACTTTTTCATCTGGAAGAGTTTTATTGAGAGGAGTGCCACCTGACTGCCATCTAACTGAGGTTTTAAACTTTAAGACAGCAGTGAAACCTGCTATGATGTATGGTTTGGAGACAGTGGCACTGACAAAAAAGATGGGAGGCAGTGCTGGAGGTGGCAGAGTTAAAGATGTTAAGATTTTCATTGAAACTGACCAGAATGGCCAAGAATAGAAATGAGTATCAGACAAACAGCTCGGCTTGAGCTGTTTGGAGGCTCCAAAATAACCCACCGGTTTAAAAACGACTTCGATGGAGAGGGAAAAGTTAGAATGGTTGTCTGTGTCGATCCCAAGACTGATGACTATGAGGAAACCCTGGTAACTTGACCCTGCCCTCTTACTTTTTGTCTTTTTAATTAACCCGAAATTTTATTTATTTATTTTCTCCTGACATAAAGGAAATGCTCTGTTTGTGTAGCTTTTGGTGCAGTTTGCAGAGATGATGCAAGTGGAGGAAGTGGCCAGGCCAGCGGACAGACCAATCTGTAGCGCTACTCCAGGCCGTCATCATAGAAACCAGGCATTCAAAGATGAGCTGTCTCACAGATTGGAAGAACGCAGTGGCCCGATAGTTCCTGGTAAAAAAAAAAATTAATACTGTGCTTTTTATTTATTTAACACCCTGTTAATCAAGTGATTAGCCTAAATTTAGGCGCACTGAAGTTTTACACTCAACCTTTTAAACAGAGCAACACCAAGTGTATAATGAGGGTTTTTTCCACTTCTGGTAATTGTTGTTCTATTTAATAATCCACTGGACACATTTTTGTGTGCTTCCAAATTCAGATTATATAGCACCTTTCAAGACAAAGATCACAAAGTGCTTCACACAGAAATGTAGGACTGCTTTCCTTGCGTTTGTGCAGTATCTCTAAAATTAGAAATCTCCTCTGTCAGAGGGATGCTGAAAAGTTACTTCATGCATTTATTACTATGACTCTTGTAATTCATTATCAACTTGTCCCAAAAGCTCCCTGAAAAGCCTTCAGTTGATCCAGAACAGCGAGAGTGCCAACAGCATCTCAGATGAGGGCATATTTGCTTTTGTGGAACCAGCTCCCAGTTTGAATTTGAAACACCCTCTTTCTGCTTTTAGGATTGGGCTTAAAACTTTCTTATAGTTTG